CCCCCTCCCCTCTCTTCTATCTCCCCCCTCCCTCCCTTCTATCTCCCCCCTCCCCTCCCTTCTATCTCCCCCCTCCCTCCCTTCTATCTCCCCCCTCCCCTCCCTTTCTATCTCCCCCCCTCCCTCCCTTCTATCTCCCCCCTCCCCTCTCTTCTATCTCCATCTCTTCTATCTCCCCCTCCCTCCCTTCTTTCTCCCCCCTCCCTCTCTTCTATCTCCCCCCTCTCTCTATTCTATCTCCCCCCTCCCTCCCTTCTATCTCCCCCCTCCCCTCCCTTCTATCTCCCCCCTCCTCCTCCCTTCTATCTCCCCCCTCCCTCTCTGCTATCTCCCCCTCCCTCCTTCTATCTCCCCCCTCCCTCCCTTCTATCTCCCCCCTCCCTCTCTTCTATCTCCCCCCTCCCTCCCTTCTATCTCCCCCCTCCCTCCCTTCTATCTCCCCCCTCCCTCCCTTCTATCTCCCCCCTCCCTCTCTTCTATCTCCCCCTCCCTCCCTTCTATCTCCCCCCTCCCTCCCTTCTATCTCCCCCCTCCCTCCCTTCTATCTCCCCCCTCCCTTCTATCTCCCCCCTCCCCTCCCTTCTATCTCCCCCCTCCCCTCCCTTCTATCTCCCCCCTCCCTCTCTGCTATCTCCCCCTCCCTCCCTTCTATCTCCCCCTCCCTCCCTTCTATCTCCCCCCTCCCTCTCTTCTATCTCCCCCTCCCTCCCTTCTATCTCCCCCCTCCCTCCCTTCTATCTCCCCCCTCCCTCCCTTCTATCTCCCCCCTCCCTCTCTTCTATCTCCCCCTCCCTCCCTTCTCTCTCCCCCCTCCCTCCCTTCTATCTCCCCCCTCCCTCCCTTCTATCTCCCCCCTCCCTCCCTTCTATCTCCCCCCTCCCTCACTTCTATCTCCCCCGTCCCTCCCTTCTATCTCCCCCCTCCCTCCCTTCTATCTCCCCCCTCCCTCTCTTCTATCTCCCCCCTCCCTCCCTTCTATCTCCCCCCTCCCTCCCTTCTATCTCCCCCCTCCCTCACTTCTATCTCCCCCCTCCCTCTCTTCTATCTCCCCCCTCTCTCTCTTCTATCTCCCCCTCCCTCCCTTCTATCTCCCCCCTCCCTTCTATCTCCCCCTCCCTCCCTTCTATCTCCCCCTCCCTTCTATCTCCCCCCTCCCTCCCTTCTATCTCCCCCCTCCCTCTTTGCTATCTCCCCCTCCCTCTCTTCTATCTCCCCCCTCCCTCTCTTCTATCTCCCCCCTCCCTCCCTTCTATCTCCCCCCTCCCTCTCTTCTATCTCCCCCCTCCCTCTCTTCTATCTACCCCCTCCCCTCTCTTCTATCTCCCCCCTCCCTCCCTTCTATCTCCCCCCTCCCTCCCTCCCATCTCCCCCCTCCCTCTCTTCTATCTCCCCCCTCCCCTCTCTTCTATCTCCCCCCTCCCTCTCTTCTATCTCCCCCCTCCCCTCTCTTCTATCTCCCCCCTCCCTCCCTTCTATCTCCCATCTCTCTACACTCGACCCACCCCCCCCCACCACCCCCCTGCACGACAGCCGTGTCTCTCCAAGCCTGCCTGTGCCCACTCGGCCTCCTCCTGGCTCTCAGCTGCCTGACGTGGGCCGTGCCCAGAGGCGTCCACTCATCACCATCATCATCAGCAGCGGCATCATCATCATCAGCTGCATCATCATCATCAGCAGGGCAGCAGCTGCTGCTCCGCGCTTTGCTGCTCGCTGAGCTGGGCCAGGCGAGGCCCAGGGTGGAATATCCAGCGCTGCAGCCAGGTCTCATCACGGGACCACAGCACATCCAGGGTAACGTGGAGTGGGCGACGCGGAGTCTACAGTGACAGTGTTGAGTCTATGGTGTGACAGTGTTGAGTCTATGGGTGACAGTGTTGAGGCTATGGTGCAGTGTTGAGTCTATGGGTGAGAGTGTTGAGTCTATGGTGCAGTGTTGAGTCTATGGGTGACAGTGTTGAGTCTATGGTGCAGTGTTGAGTCTATGGGTGACAGTGTTGAGTCTATGGTGCAGTGTTGAGGCTATGGTGCAGTGTTGAGTCTATGGTGCAGTGTTGAGTCTATGGTGCAGTGTTGAGTCAATGGGTGACAGTGTTGAGTCTATGGTGCAATGTTGAGGCTATGGGTGACAGTGTTGAGTCTATGGTGCAGTGTTGAGGCTATGGTGCAGTGTTGAGTCTATGGTGCAGTGTTGAGTCTATGGTGCAGTGTTGAGTCTATGGGTGACAGTGTTGAGGCTATGGTGCAGTGTTGAGTCTATGGGTGAGAGTGTTGAGTCTATGGTGCAGTGTTGAGTCTATGGGTGACAGTGTTGAGTCTATGGTGCAGTGTTGAGTCTATGGGTGACAGTGTTGAGTCTATGGTGCAGTGTTGAGGCTATGGTGCAGTGTTGAGTCTATGGTGCAGTGTTGAGTCTATGGTGCTGTGTTGAGTCAATGGGTGACAGTGTTGAGTCTATGGTGCAATGTTGAGGCTATGGGTGACAGTGTTGAGTTTATGGGTGACAGTGTTGAGTCTATGGTGCAGTGTTGAGTCTATGGTGCAGTGTTGAGTCTACGGTGCAGTGTTGAGTCTACCGTGCAGTGTTGAGTCTACGGTGCAGTGTTAAGTCTATGGCGCAGTGTTGAGTCTACCGTGCAGTGTTGAGTCTATGGTGCAGTGTTAAGTCTATGGCGCAGTGTTGAGTCTACGGTGCAGTGTTGAGTCTATGGGTAGTGTTGAGTCTATGGTGCAGTGTTGAGTCTATGGTGCAGTGTTGAGTCTATGGTGCAGTGTTGAGTCTATGGGTGACAGTGTTAAGTCTATGGTGCAGTGTTGAGTCTATGGGTGACAGTGTTGAGTCTATGGTGCAGTGTTGAGTCTATGGGTGACAGTGTTGAGTCTATGGTGCAGTGTTGAGGCTATGGTGCAGTGTTGAGTCTATGGTGCAGTGTTGAGTCTATGGTGCAGTGTTGAGTCAATGGGTGACAGTGTTGAGTCTATGGTGCAATGTTGAGGTTATGGGTGACAGTGTTGAGTTTATGGGTGACAGTGTTGAGTCTATGGTGCAGTGTTGAGTCTATGGTGCAGTGTTGAGTCTACGGTGCAGTGTTGAGTCTACCGTGCAGTGTTGAGTCTACGGTGCAGTGTTAAGTCTATGGCACAGTGTTGAGTCTACCGTGCAGTGTTGAGTCTATGGTGCAGTGTTAAGTCTATGGCGCAGTGTTGAGTCTACGGTGCAGTGTTGAGTCTATGGGTAGTGTTGAGTCTATGGTGCAGTGTTGAGTCTATGGTGCAGTGTTGAGTCTATCGGTGACAGTGTTGAGTCTATGGTGTGACAGTGTTGAGTCTATGTTGCAGTGTTGAGTCTATGGGTGACAGTGTTGAGTCTATGGGTGACAGTGTTGAGTCTATGGTGCAGTGTTGAGTCTATGGTGTGACAGTGTTGAGTCTATGGTGCAGTGTTGAGTCTATGGGTGACAGTGTTGAGTCTATGGTGCAGTGTTGAGTCTATGGTGCAGTGTTGAGGCTATGGTGGAGTGTTGAGTCTATGGTGCAGTGTTGAGTCTATGGGTGACAGTGTTGAGTCTATGGGTGACAGTGTTGAGTCTATGGTGCAGTGTTGAGTCTATGGGTGACAGTGTTGAGTCTATGGTGCAGTGTTGAGTCTATGGTGCAGTGTTGAGGCTATGGTGCAGTGTTGAGTCTATGGTGCAGTGTTGAGTCTATGGTGCAGTGTTGAGTCTATGGTGCAGTGTTGAGTCTATGGGTGACAGTGTTGAGTCTACGGTGCAGTGTTAAGTCTATGGCACAGTGTTGAGTCTACCGTGCAGTGTTGAGTCTATGGTGCAGTGTTAAGTCTATGGCGCAGTGTTGAGTCTACGGTGCAGTGTTGAGTCTATGGGTAGTGTTGAGTCTATGGTGCAGTGTTGAGTCTATGGTGCAGTGTTGAGTCTATCGGTGACAGTGTTGAGTCTATGGTGTGACAGTGTTGAGTCTATGTTGCAGTGTTGAGTCTATGGGTGACAGTGTTGAGTCTATGGGTGACAGTGTTGAGTCTATGGTGCAGTGTTGAGTCTATGGTGTGACAGTGTTGAGTCTATGGTGCAGTGTTGAGTCTATGGGTGACAGTGTTGAGTCTATGGTGCAGTGTTGAGTCTATGGTGCAGTGTTGAGGCTATGGTGGAGTGTTGAGTCTATGGTGCAGTGTTGAGTCTATGGGTGACAGTGTTGAGTCTATGGGTGACAGTGTTGAGTCTATGGTGCAGTGTTGAGTCTATGGGTGACAGTGTTGAGTCTATGGTGCAGTGTTGAGTCTATGGTGCAGTGTTGAGGCTATGGTGCAGTGTTGAGTCTATGGTGCAGTGTTGAGTCTATGGTGCAGTGTTGAGTCTATGGTGCAGTGTTGAGTCTATGGGTGACAGTGTTGAGTCTATGGTGCAGTGTTGAGACTATGGTGCAGTGTTGATTCTATGGTGCAGTGTTGAGTCTATGGGTAACAGTGTTGAGTCTATGGGTGACAGTGTTGAGTCTATGGTGCAGTGTTGAGTCTATGGTGCAGTGTTGAGTCTATGGGCAGTGTTGAGTCTACGGTGCAGTGTTGAGTCTACGGTGCAGTGTTAAGTCTATGGTGTAGCGTGAGTTTATGGTGTAGTGTTAAGTCTACGGCGCAGTGTTGAGTCTATGGGTAGTGTTGAGTCTATGGTGCAATGTTGAGTCTGTGGTGCAGTGTTGAGTCTATGAGTGACTGTGTTGAGTCTATGGTGCAGTGTTGATTCTATGGTGCAGTGTTGAGTTTATGGGTAGTGTTGAGTCTATGGTGCAATGTTGAGTCTATGGTGCAGTGTTGAGTCTATGGTGCAGTGTTGATTCTATGGTGCAGTGTTGAGTTTATGGGTAGTGTTGAGTCTATGGTGCAATGTTGAGTCTATGGTGCAGTGTTTAGTCTATGGTGCAGTGTTGAGTCTATGATGCAGTGTTGAGTCTATGGTGCAGTGTTTAATCTATGGTGCAGTGTTGAGTCTATGGGTGACAGTGTTGAGTCTATGTGTGACAGTGTTGAGTCTATGGTGCAGTGTTGAGTCTGTGGGTGACAGTGTTGAGTCTATGGTGCAGTGTTGAGTCTATGGGCAGTATTCTTTGGTTCTTTCGGTAAAGTCACGTAGAATGAGAATAAAATAATAAATTGATAAAATAAAATAACACAATAATATTCTCACGACGTTTCGGCCACAACACAAGCGGCCTTCATCAGGTGAAGGGGCGAGACTGTCTGGTAGGACAGCGCTGGAGTGAAAGAGCCACGTTCAGATCACGGCCTTTAAGCTGTGTGAGAGGAACAAAGCGCCTTGACAAAGGAATTAGCATATAATTTAGCATTGAAATGGCTGAATGATTAGCTTGTGACTGGTCACAGAAATATCTATGTTAAAAGTTAAAGCATACACATCCGCAGAGGCACCCATTGTTAAAGGAATTAGCATAGAATTTACCATTGAAATAGCTAAGTTAAGGCATACACATCCGCAGAGGCACCCCTTGACAATGGAATTAGCATAGAATTTAGCATTGACATAGCTGAGTGATTAGCTTGTAACTGCTACAGAAATAGCTACGTTAAAGTCAGAGCATACACATTCACCGAGGCACTTAGTACAAATCGTACTAAGTACTAAGTGCCTCGGTGAATGTGTATGCTCTGACTTTAACGTAGCTATTTCTGTAGCAGAAATAGCTTAGTACGATTTGTACTAAGTGCCTCGGTGAATGTGTATGCTCTGACTTTAACGTAGCTATTTCTGTAGCAGATACAAGCTAATCACTCAGCTATTTCAATGCTAAATTCTATGCTAATTCCATTGTCAAGGGGTGCCTCTGCGGATGTGTATGCCTTGACTTAGCTATTTCAATGCTAAATTCTATGCTAATTCCTTTAACAATGGGTGCCTCTGCGGATGTGTATGCTTTAACTTTTAACATAGCTATTTCTGTGACCAGTCACAAGCTAATCATTCAGCCATTTCAATGCTAAATTATATGCTAATTCCTTTGTCAAGGCGCTTTGTTCCTCTCACACAGCTTAAAGGCCGTGATCTGAACGTGGCTCTTTCACTCCAGCGCTGTCCTACCAGACAGTCTCGCCCCTTCACCTGATGAAGGCCGCTTGTGTTGTGGCCGAAACGTCGTGAGAATATTATTGTGTTATTTTATTTTATCAATTTATTATTTTATTCTCATTCTACGTGACTTTACCGAAAGAACCAAAGAAGATGAATCATTGCAGTCACGAAAGCTTTAAATCGAAATCTATGGGCAGTGTTGAGTCTATGGGTGACAGTGTTGAGTCTATGGTACAGTGTTGAGTCTATGGTGCAGTGTTGTCTATGGTGCAGTGTTGAGGCTATGGTGCAGTGTTGAGTCTATGGTGGAGTGTTGAGTCTATGGGTGACAGTGTTGAGTCTATGATGCAGTATGAGTCTATGGGTAATGCTGTGGTATATGGATAGTGTTGAGTCTACGGTGCAGTGTTAAGTCTACGGTGCAGTGTTGAGTCTACGGTGCAGTGTTGAGTCTACGGTGCAGTGTTGGTTCTATGGTGCAGTGTTGAGTCTGTGGTGCAGTGTTGGTCTACTGTGCAGTGTTGAGTATATTTTGCAGTGTTGAGTCTATAGTGCAGTGTTGAGTATATGGTGCAGTGTTGAGTCTGTGGTGCAGTGCTGAGTCTATGGTGCAGTGTTGAGTCTATGGTGCAGTGTTGAGTCTGTGGTGCAGTGCTGAGTCTATGGTGCAGTGTTGAGTCTATGGCGCAGTGTTGAGTCTATGGTGCAGTGTTGAGTCTATGTTGCAGTGTCGAGTCTATAGTGCAGTGTTGAGTCTATGGCGCAGTGTTGAGTCTATCGTGCAGTGTTGAGTCTATGGTCCAGTGTCGAGTCTATGGTGCAGTGTCGAGTCTATAGTGCAGTGTCGAGTCTATGGTGCAGTGCTGAGTCTATGGTGCAGAGTTGAGTCTATGGTGCAGTGTTGAGTCTATGGTGCAGTGCTGAGTCTATGGTGCAGTGTTGAGTCTATGGTGCAGTGCTGAGTCTATGGCGCAGTGCTGAGGAGTCTCTGGGCCGTGTGCCGTGGCTCAGGTGGCGCCTACGAGGGGCTCCAGCATCTGGGTCCCCTGGGCGACATCAGCAACGTGGTGACGGCTCTGGGCGGAGACGCGGGGGGAGGCAGAGAGAGCCACGGAGCCCAGCGATACCCAGAGCCACCCAACCCGTGCTCTCGCGGCCTCTCCGGTAACCTCCACGTCACCATGGCCAGGATCAGCATCGATACGGGACCTTGTTTTTGCTGTTGCCAGTATCAAAGTGCAGCGAGCCCAACCGAGTCGCAGACGTTATTCTTCAGAGGCAACACGTTCATCCGCAGCGCGTAAATACGAAAGGGAGGTAAACTGCCCCTTTACCAGATGCAGCCTAGGGCCCATACCAGTTGGTTCCTTTGGCGAAGTCACGGAGGCAAAACAAATCACGGCGTTTCGGAGTCAACTACAAGAAGCTTCCGTTATCAGCTGGCAACAGCCACAGCAAAATCACTGTGGTGAGTAGAGAGAGAGCTGTTTGTGAACAAGAGATTATATCGGGTACCATGCCCAGGAGCTTCTATATTCCCCATCCCCCAACACTCATCCACCCCCCACCCCACCCCACCCTGCATCCGTCCTCCCTGGCTCCTCCCCCTTTCTTACCCTACTATATAATATCTTGTCACAAAACAGCTCTCTCTCTCTCACCATTGGAACCTCCTTTTGCCAGTAGCAAAATATGATAGTTGGTATTTTACCTTTCGATTGAAAGCTTTCGTGACTGCAAGGATTCATCTTCTTTGGTTCTTTCGGTAAAGTCACCACCACCACGTAGAATGAGAACAAAATAATACATTAAAAAAATAACATAACACAATCAAATTCTCACGACGTTTCGGCCACAACACAAGTGGCCTTGAAGCTCTGTCGTCCCGACTGGTCTGTTCCTTTCACCTGAAGAAGGCCACTTGTCTTGTAGCCGAAACGTCGTGAGAATTTTATCGTGTTATTTTATTTTATTAATTTATTATTTTGTTCTCATTCTACGTGGTGGCGACTTTACCGAAAGAACCAAAGAAGATGGTATTTTACCCTTTTATCTGCCAACAAAACTGACACCTTTTTTTACAAGGAGTCATTTTTGTACATTGACCACAATACCTGCGGTCGGAATGCAAACAAAAAACAACAACTCTGATAATGTATTGGCACTGTCCTTGAAATCGATTGGTCCGAGACAGCTTTCCTTAGAGCCTAGTCTCACGTTGGTGTTGCGCCTTTTGGCATCATCTGGTCCAACACCAACGTGAGACTAGGCTCTAAGGAAAGCTGTCTCGGACCAAATCGATTTCAAGGACAGTGCCAATACATTATCAGAGTTGTGTTTTTTGTTTGCATTCCGACCGCGGGTATTGTGGTCAATGCAAACACGACTCCTTGTAAAAAAAGGTGTCAGTTTTGTTGCCAGATAAAAGGGCAAAAAAAAAAACAATTACCAGCTCTCTCTCTCTCTACTCACCACAGTAATTTTTCTGTGGCTGTTGCCGCCCGGTAACGGAAGCTTCTTGTAGTTGCCTCCGAGACGTCGTGATTTGTTTGAGTGTTTTTTTAAATTTTCTTCACCCACGTGACTTTACCGAAAGAACCAAAGAGTATGGACCCTTGCATTCACGGAAACTTCAAATCTACAACAACCTAGGGTGGTGACCACCCAGTTAACTACACCATACGGAGGAGTTACAGCTACAGTAATTTTTCTGTGGCTTTTGCTGCCCGGTAACGGAAGCTTCTTGTAGTTGCCTCCGAGACGTCGTGATTTGTTTGAGTGTTGTTTTTTATTTTCTTCACCCACGTGACTTTAGCGAAAGAACCAAAGAGTATGGACCCTTGCATTCACGGAAACTTCAAATCTACAACAGCCTAGGGTGGTGACCACCCAGCTAACTACACCATACGGAGGAGTTACAGCTACGAAGGGTCGACCCTCACTCGGGTCCCCGGCCACGTGTTGATGCCTCGTAGGACGTAGGACGTGGAGCTCTCAGCTTGTAGGACGTGGAGCTCTCAGCTTCTAGACGTGGAGCTTCCAGCTTGTAGGACGTGGAGCTTCCAGCGTGTAGGACGTGGAGCTTACAGCTTGTAGGCGTGGAGCTTACAGCTTATAGGACGTGGAGCTTACAGCTTGTAGGACGTGGAGCTTACAGCTTGTAGGACGTGGAGCTTCCAGCGTGTAGGACGTGGAGCTTACAGCTTGTAGGACGTGGAGCTTACAGCTTGTAGGACGTGGAGCTCTCAGCTTGTAGGACGTGGAGCTTACAGCTTGTAGGACGTGGAGCTTCCTGCTTGTAGGACGTGGAGCTTCCAGCATGTATGACCTAGAGCTTCCAGCTTGTAGGACGTGGAGCTTCCAGCTTGTAGGACATGGAGCTTACAGCTTGTAGGACGTGGAGCTCTCAGCTTGTAGGACGTGGAGCTTACAGCTTGTAGGACGTGGAGCTTACAGCTTGTAGGTGTTGAGCTTCCAGTTTGTAGGACGTGGAGCTTCCAGCTTGTAGACGTGGAGCTCTCAGCTTGTAGGACGTGGAGCTTCCAGCTTGTAGGACGTGGAGCTTCCTGCTTGTAGGACGTGGAGCTTCCAGCTTGTAGGACGTGGAGCTCTCAGCTTGTAGGACGTGGAGCTTCCAGCTTGTAGGACGTGGAGCTTCCTGCTTGTAGGACGTGGAGCTCTCAGCTTGTAGGACGTGGAGCTTACAGCTTGTAGGACGTGGAGCTTCCAGCTTGTAGGACGTGGAGCTTACAGCTTGTAGGACGTGGAGCTTACAGCTTGTAGGACGTGGAGCTTACAGCTTGTAGGACGTGGAGCTTACAGCTTGTAGGACGTGGAGCTCTCAGCTTGTAGGATGTGGAGCTTACAGCTTGTAGGACGTGGAGCTTACAGCTTGTAGGTGTTGAGCTTCCAGTTTGTAGGACGTGGAGCTTCCAGCTTGTAGGACGTGGAGCTTCCAGCTTGTAGACGTGGAGCTTACAGCTTGTAGGACGTGGAGCTTACAGCTTGTAGGACGTGGAGCTTACAGCTTGTAGGATGTGGAGCTTACAGCTTGTAGATGTGGAGCTTACAGATTGTAGGACGTGGAGCTTACAGCTTGTAGGACGTGGAGCTCTCAGCTTGTAGGATGTGGAGCTTACAGCTTGTAGAACGTGGAGCTTACAGCTTGTAGGTGTTGAGCTTCCAGCTTGTAGGACGTGGAGCTCTCAGCTTGTAGACGTGGAGCTTACAGCTTGTAGGTGTTGAGCTTCCAGCTTGTAGGACGACGCGACCCCGGTCCCTCTCAGGGACCCACCTTATATCCTCCCGGGTCGGGGCTGGCTCCGCCCTCGGCCCCGCCCACCTTCGCGAGCGTTCCAGCTCCCTCTAGAGAGCTCTCCCCGGACACGTGATCACCCCCTAGCCCCCCCCCTCCCCACCCCCACCTGGGGCCCTCTCTGTGGACACTCCGGATCACGTGTCTACGGGGTCAGCCAGAGTTCCGTGGCCCGGGGCAACCCTGCCCCTGGGCCAACCCTGCCCCTGGGCTGATACTCTCCCGCTCCCCCGTGAGGGAGCCCGGGCACCGCGCGCCGTGCGCGGCGCCCGGGCTATCCCAGCGCTCGCTAATCCCCAGCTGGGGCTGGTGCTACACCCGCCTACGGGGCGTACGCGATGACGGTGCATCGCGCGCCGCGCGGTAGTAAAGCCGGCATCACGCGGCAAACCAACCGGTGCGGTCGGTGACGTAGGAACATCGCACGCCACGACCCTCCCGGGCCGGCACCATACAGTGACATCCCCGATGTCACTACAAAAGTATGAAATAGGCGTGGTTTTACCATTTCTGCCAATGGAGCAGGAGCTTGTGTAAAGATGTTCAAACACCAAACAGAAACCTTTGGCAAAGAATCGAGTTACAGCATTTGCCACGCACGCACATGCAAACAAAAAAAAGACATTGCTCCAATAGCATTTAATGGCACCGCCTTTAATGGCAATGTAACTAAAAAACTTGATTTGAAGTTTCCGTGACCGCGGTAATTACTCCTTGGTTCTGTCGGTAAAGTGATTTTTCTTTCTCCGTGATGACTTCACCGAAAGAACCAAAGCGTAACAATGTAACTGTCATATTCTTGGTTCTTTCGGTAAAGTCACCACGTAGAAGGGAAACAATAAAATAATAAAAATATAAAACAATAAAATTCTCACGACGTTGACTACAAAACAAGCAATTATCATCAGGTGTGAAAACCACAGCAAGACAATTTTCACACCTGATGATGATTGCTTCTTGTGTTGCAGTTGAAACGTCGTGAGAATTTTATTGTTTTAGATTTGTATTATTTTATTGTTTCCCTTCTACGTGGTGGTGACTTTACCGAAAGAACCAAGAATATGATCTTTCTTTCTCCGTGATGACTTCACCGAAAGAACCAAAGAGTAACAATCTAACTGTCGTGTTATGTGCCATTGTATTTAAAACTGATTGGCCTACACCAGAGACAGCCTTCTTTAGAGCCCAGTCTCACCACCAGCGTCAGACCAGAGAACACCAAAAAGGGGAACAGCGCAAGGACCACGCCACCATCAGAGCATTCATATCTCGGGGTGAGCAGCTACAAAATGGGACCTTTTTGCCAGTATCATTTGATACAGGCAAAAAGGGCCCCATTTTATGATGTTGATGGTTGAGTCACCACTCTCCTTCCTCCTGACGCGGTTGTGTCTGCCGCCTTGACCACCTGAATGTGAAATCATCGTTATTGTTGTCTCCGTCATCTCCATCAGCGGCCGTACGAAAGAAGAGACTCAAATATACCCATAGAGATCCACTCATAGAGACCCACAGAGACGCATAGACCGAGAGACTGATAGACTCACAGAGAGAGATAAAGACTCATGTAGACTGATAGACCCATAGATACTCATAGAGACACATAGACTGAGAGACTGATAGACTCACAGAGACACATAGAGACTCACGTAGACTGATAGACTCACAGAGACACACAGAGACCCAGAGAGACGCATAGACTGAGAGACTGATAGACTCACAGAGACAGATAGAGACTCACGTAGACTGATAGACCCATAGATACCCAGAGAGACCCACAGAGATGCAGAGACTGAGAGACTCACAGAGACACATAGAGACACATAGACTGATAGACCCACAGATACCCAGAGAGACCCACAGAGACGCATAAACTGAGAGACTGAGAGACTCACAGAGACACTTAGAGACTCACATAGACTGATAGACCCATAGATACCCAGAGAGACACATAGAGACGCATAGACTGATAGACTCACAGAGACGCATAGAGACTCACGCAGACTGATAGGCCCATAGATACCCAGAGAGACTCACAGAGACACATAGAGACTCACGTAGACTGATAGACCCATAGATACCCAGAGAGACACACAGAAACGCATAGACTGAGAGACTGATAGACTCACAGAAATCCATAGAGACTCACGTAGACTGATAGACCCAGAGAGACCCACAGACCTCCTTGCCAGTATCTAAGTGTGAAAATGTAGGAATCTTTTACCCTTTCTGGCAATGAAGCAGCAAGGTTGCGTTAAGATGTTCAAACACCAAGCAGATTAAAAAACTTTGGCAAGGAATAACGTTACGGCAATTAATCACGCACACGCACGCACGCACAGTTGTTGTGAACATGCAAACACACACGCAACCGGTAATGTTGTAACGCAGTGCCTTTGAAACTGATTGGCCTGCACCAGACGCAGCAGCGTTCTTATTGGCCCAGTCTCACCACCAGTGTGAGACCAGAGAACACAGCCAGAAGGCGAACAGCGCAAGGACAATGCCACACGTAGCAGAGCATTCATATAGCTCGGGGTGAGCAGCAACATCACGGGAGCTTGTTTCTGCCAGCATCGAAGTGTAATGTTGCTGATGATGCTGCTGCTGCTGATGATGCTGCTGTTGCTGATGATGCTGATTATGCTGATGATGCTGATTATGCTGCTGCTGATGCTGTTGCTGTTTATGCTGCTGCTGATGATGCTGCTGCTGTTTATGCTGTTGCTGCTGCTGCTGTTGCTGATTATACTGTTGATGATGCTGTTGCTGATAATGATGCTGCTGATGATTCTGCTGCTGCTGATGATGATGCTGCTGCTGACGATGCTGATGATGATGATTCTGATGATGATGATGCTGCTGCTGTGTGTAGCCTCTGATGGGTGTATCGAGCGGATGCCGGACACAGCCGCCTTTAGCCGCGACTATCAGAACAGAGCGGCCATCGTGAACTCTCACTCACAGGTGAGTCTGGGTGTGTCTCTGTGTGTGTCTCTGTGTGAGTCTATGTGAGTCTCTGTGTGTGTCTCTGTGTGAGTCTCTGTGTGTGTCTCTGTGTGAGTCTCTGTGTGTCTCTGTGTGTCTAATGTGTCACTGTGTGAGTCTCTGTGAGTCTCTGTGTGAGTCTCTGTGTGTCTCATGTGTCACTGTGTGAGTCTCTGTGTGTCTCTGTGTGAGTCTGTGTGTCTCTGTGTGAGTCTCTGTGTGTCTCTGTGTGTGTCTCTGTGTGAGTCTCTGTGTGTCTCATCTGTCACTGTGTGAGTCTCTGTGTGTCTCTGTGTGAGTCTCTGTGTGTCTCTGTGTGAGTCTCTGTGAGTCTCATCTGTCACTGTGTGAGTCTCTGTGTGTCTCTGTGTGAGTCTCTGTGAGTCTCATCTGTCACTGTGTGAGTCTCTGTGTGTCTCTGTGTGAGTCTCTGTGTGTCTCATGTGTCACTGTGTGAGTCTCTGTGTGTCTCTGTGTGAGTCTCTGTGAGTCTCATCTGTCACTGTGTGAGTCTCTGTGTGTCTCATGTGTCACTGTGTGAGTCTCTGTGTGAGTCTGTGTGAGTCTCTGTGTGTCTCTGTGTGTCTCTGTGTGAGTCTGTGTGTCACTGTGTGAGTCTCCGTGTGTCTCTGTGCGAGTCTCTGTGTGAGTCTCTGTGTGAGTCTCTGTGTGAGTCTCTGTGTGAGTCTCTGTGTGTCTCATGTGTCTCATGTGTCTCTGTGTGAGTCTCTGTGTGTCTCTGTGTGAGTCTCTGTGTGTCTCTGTGTGAGTCTCCGTGTGTCTCTGTGTGTATGTCTCTGTGTGTCTCTGTGTGAGTCTCTGTGTGTCTCTGTGTGTCTCTGTGTGAGTCTCTGTGTGTCTCTGTGTGAGTCTCTGTGTGTCTCATCTGTCACTGTGTGAGTCTCTGTGTGTCTCTGTGTGAGTCTCTGTGTGAGTCTCTGTGTGTCTCATCTGTCACTGTGTGAGTCTCTGTGTGTCTCTGTGTGAGTCTCTGTGTGTCTCTGTGTGAGTCTCTGTGAGTCTCATCTGTCACTGTGTGAGTCTCTGTGTGTCTCTGTGTGAGTCTCTGTGTGTCTCATGTGTCATTGTGTGAGTCTCTGTGTGTCTCTGTGTGAGTCTCTGTGTGTCTCTGTGTGAGTCTCTGTGTGTCTCTGTGTGAGTCTCTGTGTGTCTCTGTGTGAGTCTCTGTGTGAGTCTCTGTGTGTCTCTGTGTGAGTCTGTGTGAGTCTCTGTGTGTCTCTGTGCGTCTCTGTGTGAGTCTGTGTGTCACTGTGTGAGTCTCCGTGTGTCTCTGTGCGAGTCTCTGTGTGAGTCTCTGTGTGAGTCTCTGAGTGTTTCTGTGTGAGTCTCTGTGTGAGTCTCTGTGTGAGTCTCTGTGTGTCTCATGTGTCTCATGTGTCTCTGTGTGAGTCTCTGTGTGTCTCTGTGTGAGTCTCTGTGTGTCTCTGTGTGAGTCTCTGTGAGTCTCTGTGAGTCTCTGTGTGAGTCTCCGTGTGTCTCTGTGTGTGTGTCTCTGTGTGTCTCTGTGTGAGTCTCTGTGTGTCTCTGTGTGTCTCTGTGTGAGTCTCTGTGTGTCTCTGTGTGAGTCTCTGTGTGTCTCATCTGTCACTGTGTGAGTCTCTGTGTGTCTCTGTGTGAGTCTCTGTGTGTCTCTGTGTGAGTCTCTGTGTGTCTCATCTGTCACTGTGTGAGTCTCTGTGTGTCTCTGTGTGAGTCTCTGTGCGAGTCTCTGTGTGAGTCTCTGTGTGTGTCTGTGTGAGTCTCTGTGTGTCTCATGTGTCTCTGTGTGAGTCTGCGCGAGTCTCTGTGTGTGTGTCTCTGTGTGTCTCATGTGTCTATGTGTCTCTGTGTGTGTCTCTGTGTGAGTCTCCGTGTGTCTCTGTGTGAGTCTCTGTGAGTCTCTGTGAGTCTCTGTGTGAGTCTCCGTGTGTCTCTGTGTGTGTGTCTCTGTGTGTCTCTGTGTGAGTCTCTGTGTGTCTCTGTGTGAGTCTCTGTGTGAGTCTCTGTGAGTCTCTGTGTGTGTTTCTGTGTGAGTCACTGTGTGTCTCATCTGTCACTGTGTGAGTCTCTGTGTGTCTCTGTGTGAGTCTGTGTGTCTCTGTGTGTCTCTGTGTGTGTCTCTATGTGTCTCTGTGTGTGTCTGTGTGTGTGTCTGTGTGTGTGTCTGCGGGTGTCTGTGTGTGTCTGTGTGTGTCTGTGTGTATCTGTGTGTCTCTGTGTGTGTCTGTGTGTGTGTCTGTGTGTGTGTCTGTGTGTCTCTGTGTGCGTCTGTGTATCTCTGTGTGTGTCTGTGTGTCTCTCTGTGTGTGTCTCTGTGTGTCTCTGTGTGAGTCTCTGTGTGTCTCTGTGTGAGTCTCTGTGTGTCTCATCTGTCACTGTGTGAGTCTTTGTGTGTCTCTGTGTGAGTCTCTGTGAGTCTCATCTGTCACTGTGTGAGTCTCTGTGTGTCTCTGTGTGAGTCTCTGTGTGTCTCATGTGTCACTGTGTGAGTCTCTGTGTGAGTCTGTGTGTGTCTCTGTGTGTCTCTGTGTGTCTCTGTGTGAGTCTGTGTGTCACTGTGTGAGTCTCCGTGTGTCTCTGTGCGAGTCTCTGTGTGAGTCTCTGTGTGAGTCTCTGTGTGAGTCTCTGTGTGAGTCTCTGTGTGTCTCATGTGTCTCATGTGTCTCTGTGTGAGTCTCTGTGTGTCTCTGTGTGAGTCTCTGTGTGTCTCTGTGTGAGTCTCTGTGAGTCTCTGTGTGAGTCTCCGTGTGTCTCTGTGTGTGTGTCTCTGTGTGTCTCTGTGTGAGTCTCTGTGTGTCTCTGTGTGAGTCTGCGTGAGTCTCTGTGTGTCTCTGTGTGAGTCTCTGTGTGTCTCATCTGTCACTGTGTGAGTCTCTGTGTGTCTCTGTGTGAGTCTCTGTGTGTCTCTGTGTGAGTCTCTGTGTGTCTCATCTGTCACTGTGTGAGTCTCTGTGTGTCTCTGTGTGAGTCTCTGTGCGAGTCTCTGTGTGAGTCTCTGTGTGTGTCTGTGTGAGTCTCTGTGTGTCTCATGTGTCTCTGTGTGAGTCTGCGTGAGTCTCTGTGTGTCTCTGTGTGAGTCTCTGTGTGAGTCTGTGTGAGACTGTGTGTCTCTGTGTGTCTTTGTGTGTCTCTGTGTGAGTCTGTGTGTCTCTGTGTGTGTCTTTGTGTGAGCCTCTAATTGAGCCTCTGTGTAAGTCTCTGTGTGAGTCTGTGTGTCTCTGTGTGTCTCTGTGTGTATCTGTGTGAGTCTGTGTGTCTCTGTGTGTGTCTTTGTGTGTCTCTGTGTGTCTCTGTGTGAGTCTCTGTGTGTCTCTGTGTGAGTCTCTGTGTGTCTCATCTGTCACTGTGTAAGTCTCTGTGTGTCTCTGTGTGAGTCTCTGTGTGTCTCTGTGTGAGTCTCTGTGTGTCTCATCTGTCACTGTGTGAGTCTCTGTGTGTCTCTGTGTGAGTCTCTGTGCGAGTCTCTGTGTGAGTCTCTGTGTGTGTCTGTGTGAGTCTCTGTGTGTCTCATGTGTCTCTGTGTGAGTCTGCGTGAGTCTCTGTGTGTGTGTCTCTGTGTGTCTCATGTGTCTATGTGTCTCTGTGTGTGTCTCTGTGTGAGTCTCTGTGTGTCTCTGTGTGAGTCTCTGTGAGTCTCTGTGAGTCTCTGTGTGAGTCTCCGTGTGTCTCTGTGTGTGTGTCTCTGTGTGTCTCTGTGTGAGTCTCTGTGTGTCTCTGTGTGAGTCTCTGTGTGAGTCTCTGTGAGTCTCTGTGTGTGTTTCTGTGTGAGTCACTGTGTGTCTCATCTGTCACTGTGTGAGTCTCTGTGTGTCTCTGTGTGAGTCTGTGTGTCTCTGTGTGAGTCTGTGTGTCTCTGTGTGTCTCTGTGTGTGTCTCTATGTGTCTCTGTGTGTGTCTGTGTGTGTGTCTGTGTGTGTGTCTGCGGGTGTCTGTGTGTGTCTGTGTGTGTCTGTGTGTATCTGTGTGTCTCTGTGTGTGTCTGTGTGTGTGTCTGTGTGTGTGTCTGTGTGTCTCTGTGTGCGTCTGTGTATCTCTGTGTGTGTCTGTGTGTCTCTCTGTGTGTGTCTCTGTGTGTCTCTGTGTGAGTCTCTGTGTGTCTCTGTGTGAGTCTCTGTGTGTCTCATCTGTCACTGTGTGAGTCTTTGTGTGTCTCTGTGTGAGTCTCTGTGAGTCTCATCTGTCACTGTGTGAGTCTCTGTGTGTCTCTGTGTGAGTCTCTGTGTGTCTCATGTGTCACTGTGTGAGTCTCTGTGTGAGTCTGTGTGAGTCTCTGTGTGTCTCTGTGTGTCTCTGTGTGAGTCTGTGTGTCACTGTGTGAGTCTCCGTGTGTCTCTGTGCGAGTCTCTGTGTGAGTCTCTGTGTGAGTCTCTGTGTGAGTCTCTGTGTGAGTCTCTGTGTGTCTCATGTGTCTCATGTGTCTCTGTGTGAGTCTCTGTGTGTCTCTGTGTGAGTCTCTGTGTGTCTCTGTGTGAGTCTCTGTGAGTCTCTGTGTGAGTCTCCGTGTGTCTCTGTGTGTATGTCTCTGTGTGTCTCTGTGTGAGTCTCTGTGTGTCTCTGTGTGTCTCTGTGTGAGTCTCTGTGTGTCTCTGTGTGAGTCTCTGTGTGTCTCATCTGTCACTGTGTGAGTCTCTGTGTGTCTCTGTGTGAGTCTCTGTGTGTCTCTGTGTGAGTCTCTGTGTGTCTCATCTGTCACTGTGTGAGTCTCTGTGTGTCTCTGTGTGAGTCTCTGTGCGAGTCTCTGTGTGAGTCTCTGTGTGTGTCTGTGTGAGTCTCTGTGTGTCTCATGTGTCTCTGTGTGAGTCTGCGTGAGTCTCTGTGTGTCTCTGTGTGAGTCTCTGTGTGAGTCTGTGTGAGACTGTGTGTCTCTGTGTGTCTTTGTGTGTCTCTGTGTGAGTCTGTGTGTCTCTGTGTGTGTCTTTGTGTGAGCCTCTAATTGAGCCTCTGTGTAAGTCTCTGTGTGAGTCTGTGTGTCTCTGTGTGTCTCTGTGTGTATCTGTGTGAGTCTGTGTGTCTCTGTGTGTGTCTTTGTGTGAGCCTCTGATTGAGCCTCTGTGTAAGTCTCTGTGTGAGTCTTTGTGTGTCTCTGTATCTCTGTGTGTCTGTGCGTCTCTGTGTGTGTTTGTGTGAGTCTGTGTGTCTCTGTGTGAGTGTCTGTGTCTCTGTGTGAGTCTGTGCGTCTCTGTGTGTCTGTGTGAGTCTGTGTGTCTCTGTGTGAGTCTGTCTGTCTCTGTGTGAGTCTGTGTGTCTCTGTGTGAGTCTGTCCGTCTCTGTGTGAGTCTGTGTCTGTGTCTCTGTGTGCGTCTGTGTGAGTCTGTGTGTGAGTCTGTGTGTGTCTGTGTGAGTCTGTGTGTCTCTGTGTGAGTCTCTGTGTGAGTCTCTGTGTGAGCCTCTGTGCGAGTGTGTCTCTGTGCGAGTCTGTGCGTCTCTGTGTGTGTCTGTTTGAGTCTCTGTGTGAGCCTCTGTATGTGTCTGTGTGTGTCTGTGTGCGTCTGTGCGTCTCTGTGTGAGTCTGTGTGTCTCTGTGTGAGTCTGTCTCTGTGTGAGTCTGTCTGTCTCTGTGTGAGTCTGCGTGAGTCTGTGTGTCTCTGTGTGAGTATGTCTGTCTCTGTGTGAGTCTGTGAGTCTGTGTGAGTCTGTGTGTCTCTGTGTGTCTGTGTGAGTCTGTGTGTCTCTGTGTGAGTCTGTGTGAGTCTGTGTGTCTCTGTGTGTCTCTGTGTGAGTCTGTGTGTCTCTGTGTTAGTCTGTGTGTCTTTGTGTGAGTCTGTGTGTTTCTGTGTGTGTCTGTGTGTGAGCCTCTGTTTGCATCTCTGTATGAATCTGTGTGAGTCTGTGTGTATCTGTATGTGTCTGTGTGAGTCTCTGTGTGAGTCTGTGTGTGAGTCTGTGTGTCTTTCTGTGAGTCTGTGTGAGTCTGTGTGTCTCTGTGTGAGTCTGTGTGTCTCTGTGTGTCTATGTGTCTCTGTGTGAGTCCGTGTGTCTCTGTGTGTCTATGTGTCTCTGTGTGAGTCTGTATGTCTCTTTGTGAGTCTGTGTGTCTCTGTGTGAGTCTGTGTGAGTCTGTGTGTCTCTGTGTGTCTCTGTGTGTGTCTTTGTGTGAGCCTCTGATTGAGCCTCTGTGTAAGTCTCTGTGTGAGTCTGTGTGTCTCTGTATGAGTCTGCGTGTCTCTGTGTGAGTCTGCGTGTCTCTGTGTGAGTCTGTAAGTCTCTGTGTGAGTCTGTGTGTCTCTGTGTGTGTATGTCTCTGTGCGAGTCTGTGCGAGTCTGTGTGTCTCTGTGTGAGTCTGTGTGTCAGTCTGTGTCAGTCTGTGTGTCAGTATATGTGTCAGTATGTGTGTCAGTATGTGTGTCTGTGTGACTTTGTATGAGTTTTTGTGATCCCTCTGATTTTTCCCTGTTAGGTTCTGAAGAGGAATGACCCTTCCTCTGAGCTATTCCTGGAAGAGAGGGTAAGACACTAACACGACCTCTAACACTACCCCTCACATTAACACTACCCCGAACACTACCCCTAACACTACCCCTCACATTAACACTAGCCCTAACATTAACCTTAACACTACCCCTAAAATTAACCCTACCCCTAACATTAACCCTACCCCTAACACTACCCATAACATTAACAATAGCCCTAACATTAACACTACCCCTAACATTAACCTTAACACTACCCCTAAAATTAACCCTACCCCTAACATTAACCTTACCCCTAACACTACCCATAACATTAACACTAGCCCTAACATTAACACTACCACTAACACGACCCCTAACACTGACCCTATCCCTAAAACTGACCCTCCCCCTAACGCTGCCCCTAGACATAGTACACTCACTCAATCTCTTACTCACTCATCCACTCACTTACCCGCTCACTTTCCTACTCACACACTCACTCACCCATCCCTTCACCCCCTCGCTGATGCTCACTCACCTCACGCTCTTACTCACTCACTCACCCATTGACCCCCCACTCACTCACCCACTCAAACACTCACTCACCCATCCATTCACCCCCTCGCTGACACTTACGCACCTCACACTCTTACTCACTCCCTCACCCATTGACCCCCCACTCACTCACCCACTCACACACTCACCCATCCATTCACCCCCTCGCTGACACTCACCTCACGCTCTTACTCACTCACCCATTTACCCACACACACACTCACTCACCCACTCACACACTCACTCACCCATTTACCCACTCACTCACCCACTCACTCACTCACCTACTCACGCACTCACTCACACACTCACCCATTTACCCACTCACTCACCCACTCACTCAATCACCCACTCACCCACTCACTCACACACTCGCTCACCCATTTACCCGCTCACTCACCCACTCACTCACTCACCCACTCACACACTCACTCACTCGATCTCACCCTGTGTCTCACTCTCACCCGGTCTCTCTGTAACAGATGCTTCTCAACCCCTATCTGTCCGGGCAGAAGTTGGACAATGTGGTGGCCAAGAAGTCAGTGCCAGATTTCGCCGATGACTTGGATGAGTTTGATGATGGTGGTGATGATGGTGGTGATGACGATGGTGGAGATGGTGGTGGTGATGATCGTGATGATGGTGGTGATGGTGGTGATGATGGTGATGATGATGATGGTGGTAATGCTGGTGGTGATGATGGTGGTAATGCTGGTGGTGATGATGATGATGACGACGATGCTGGTGATGACGGTGGTAATGAGATGTGATTTGGATGGAGACAATGGAGATGGTGGTGGGAATGAGAGTGGAGGTGGTGATGGTGTTGATGGTATTTTGGTTGTTGTGTATTTACGCGTACATACAAACACACAGGCACACACACACAGACACACACACAGATACACAGAGACAAAGACACACAAACAAACACACACACACACATACAAAGACAAAGATCCCCCCGTATAGCCCTGTTGGGGCAAGTGCTGTTAGCGGGTAGCACCTAGGACATACAGGCACATATACATAGTCTCACACACACACGGACATAAAGACATGCAGAGAAGTACATATGTACACACACAAAAGGACACACACAGACACACACAGACACACACACACAGGGACACACACACACACATACGCACATTTTGCCAAGATGATTATGAAACAGTTTTTCACTTTGGGCATATCTCTCTCACCTGGCGATGGCTCAGTGTAGCTGACACGGCCATGGTGAACTTCGCCGACACGGCCATCGTGAACCCACTCACTGACACGGCCATCGTGATCCTCACCGACACGGCCACCGTGAACCTCACCGACACGGCCACCGTGATCCTCACCGACACGGCCATCGTGAGCTTCACCGACACGGCCATCGTGAACCCACTCACTGACACGGCCATCGTGAAACTCACTGACACGGCCATCGTGATCCTCACCGACACGGCCATCGTGAACCCACTCACTGACACGGCCATCGTGAAACTCACTGACACGGCCATCGTGATCCTCACCGACACGGCCATCGTGAACCCACTCACTGACACGGCCATCGTGAACTTCACCGACACGGCCACCGTGAAACTCACCGACACGGCCACCGTGAACCTCACTGACACGTCCATCGTGAGCTTCACCGACACGGCCACCGTGAACCTCACCGACACGGCCACCGTGAACCTCACCGACACGGCCATCGTGAGCTTCACCGACACGGCCACCGTGAACCTCACCGACACGGCCACCGTGAACCTCACCGACACGTCCATCGTGATCCTCACCGACACGGCCATCGTGAGCTTCACCGACACGGCCATCGTGAACCCACTCACTGACACGGCCACCGTGAACCTCACCGACACGGCCACCGTGAACCTCACCGACACGGCCATCGTGAGCTTCACCGACACGGCCATCGTGAACTTCACCGACACGGCCATCGTGAACTTCACCAACACGGCCACCGTGATCCTCACTGACACGGCCATCGTGAGCTTCACCGACACGGCCACCGTGAACTTCACCGACACGGCCATCGTGAACCTCACCGACATGGCCACACTTCACCGACACGGCCATCGTGAACCTGAGAGAGAGAGAAGGACACGCCAGTAATTGTCTGTGAGTCTTTCTCTGTATTTGTTCGTGCTGAATAAACGAATTGTGCTCTGCAGGCCGTACGAGTGAGGTCGTTTTTTGCAGCAGCATCACCACCACCATTAGTGGCATCATCATCAGCATCAGCATCGTCATCAGCGGCATTATCACCAGAATCATCAGCATCATTAGCATTATCATCAGCATCATCAGCATCATTAGCATCAGCATCCTCAGCAGCAGCAGCATCATCATCAGCATCGGCATCATCACCAACAGCATCACCTGCAGCATCATCATCAGCATCGGGAGTAACATCATCATCAACATTATCAACATAAGTAACAGCATCATCATCAAAATCATCAACATCATCAGCATCATCAGCAGCATCATCAAAATCATCAACATCATCAATATCATCAACAGCATCAACATCATCAACATCATCATCAACATCATCAACAGCATCAACATCATCATCATCATCATCAAAATCATCATCATCAACATCATCAACAGCATCAACATCATCCTCAACATCATCATCAACATCATAAACAGCATCATCAACATAATCAAAATCATCATCAACATCATTATCAACAGCATCAACATCATCATCAAAATCATCATCAAAATCATCAACATCATCATCAACATCATCAACATCATCCTCAACATCATCAACATCATCAACATCATCATCAACAACATCAAAAACATCATCATCAACATCATCAACATCATCAACAACATCATCAACATCAACAACATCAGCACCACCACCACAGTCCATGCACGCCGAGTGAAAGCGGTCTCGGAACAGGACGTGTGAACGTGCCCCCCACAATTCACCACCACCACACCACCACCACTCCACCATCACTCCACCACCACCACCACACCACCACCACTCCATCACCACCACTCCACCACCACCAAAGATCCACCAAAGATCCACCACCACCACACCACCACCACCACCACTCCACCACCACCACTACTCCACCACCACCAAAGATCCACCACCACCACCACACCACCACCACTCCACCACCACCACACCACCACCACCACACCACCACCACCACCACTCCACCACCACCACCACCACACCACCACTACCACCACCACCCCACCCCTCCCGTGTTGTCGCCTGTAACAGACTGAGTTGGGCAAGTGGCTGTTCGTAGCAGCAAAAGCAGCAGCAGCAGCGCCTCTGAAGGCTACCGGCCACTGTGGCAACACACAGAGTGGGTGGGTGTCACGCCCGTCCGCCTTTGTCTCCCCAGTGGCGACGTTTCACCACGCACGCCACGCCCAGGTACTCGTTCGAGGCTGAGTGTCCCCGCACTCTTACCTGTGGTTGGTGACGTCACCCTTCTCTCAACCCGGCTGGTGACGTCACCACAAACGCTAGCCTGGCGGTGACGTCACTTCTCACACCTGGTGGTGACGTCACCTACATCTCACACCTGGTGGCGACGTCACTTATCTCGCTCGCCTGGTGGGTGAGACGTCACGCCCTCTCCAACGTGTGCGTGACGTAACCCCTGCATCCGCTCCTGGTGGATGACGTCACACTCCTCTCACTCACCTGCCGGTGACGTCACCACCGGGTGTGGCTGCACGGCGCCTGTGACGTCACGCGGATGAGGTCACCTCGAGGTTGAGGCGAAGAGGGCGGGGGAGGGGCAAGCGGAGAGTGGGGGAGGGGAGAGGTTTAGAGTTGCTCAGTCTCTCAGTGTCTCTCTCTCCGTGTCTCTCTCTCAGTGTCTCTCTCAGTGTCTCCCTTAGTGTGTGTGTCTCTCTCTCAGTGTCTCTCCGTGTCTCTCTCTCAGTGTCTCTCTCTCTCTGGGAGTTCAGTCTCAGTCTCTCTCTGTGTGTCTCTCTCTGGGAGTTCAGTCTCTCTCTCTCTGTGTCTCTCTCTCTCTCTGGGAGTTGAGTCTCTCTCTCTCTGTGTCTCTCTCTGTGTCTCTCTCTCTCTCTGTGTCTCTCTCTCTCTGTGTCTCTCTCTCTCTGGGAGTTCAGTCTCTATCTCTCTCTCTGTGTCTCTCTCTGGGAGTTGAGTCTCTCTCTCTCTGTGTCTCTCTCTGTGTCTCTCTCTCTCTCTGTGTCTCTCTCTCTCTGTGTCTCTCTCTCTCTGGGAGTTCAGTCTCTATCTCTCTCTCTCTGTGTCTCTCTCTGGGAGTTGAGTCTCTCTCTCTCTGTGTCTCTCTCTGTGTCTCTCTCTCTCTCTCTGGGAGTTGAGTCTCTCTCTCTCTGTGTCTCTCTCTGTGTCTCTCTCTCTCTCTGTGTCTCTCTCTCTGTGTCTCTCTCTCTCTGGGAGTTCAGTCTCTCTCTCTCTCTCTCTGTGTCTCTCTCTCTGGGAGTTCAGTCTCTCTCTCTCTGTGTCTCTCTCTGGGAGTTGAGTCTCTCTCTCTCTCTGGGTCTCTCTCTCTGTGTCTCTCTCTCTCTCTCTGTGTCTCTCTCTCTCTGGGAGTTCAGTCTCTCTCTCTCTCTGTGTCTCTCTCTGGGAGTTGAGTCTCTCTCTCTCTCTGGGTCTCTCTCTCTCTGTGTCTCTCTCTCTCTCTGTGTCTCTCTCTCTCTGGGAGTTGAGTCTCTCTCTGGGAGTTCAGTCTCTCTCTGTGTCTCTCTCTCTGTGTCTCTCTCTCTCTGTGTCTCTCTCTCTCTCTGGGTCTCACACCGAGTCGCTGGAGACTGCGCAGGGCGCAGTTTCCCGGCTCCGAGTCGCCATGAACGCCTCTCTGCTGCTGCTCCTCTCGGCGTGTCTAATCGGTGAGTGTGCGCGCGCGCGCACCCGGGGAGACAAAGGCGGCCGGGCGTGGTGTTGTCCATCCTCCTGCCCCCCTACTCTCCCCCTCTACTCTCCCTCTACTCCCCCCCCCCTACTCCCCCTCCTCCCCCTTCTCCTCCTCCCCCCCTTCTCCTCCCCCTCCTACCCCCTATACCTACACACCTACATACAATGGTAGTAACTGTTGACTATATATACACCACACACCCTATATACAACAGAGTCAGTAGTATATACTGACTCCATATATACATGGACACCCTGCATACAAATAGTCAGTAGCATATCGATTGACTACACGTCAACACACCCTACAGTCTGTAGGTACCAGAGGTCTGTTTCTTAAGTAGATTTGTTTGCGAGCCACAACTTTACTCCTGCCAATTCCAAAAGTGTTGTACGGCATGTACACACTAAACACGGGGAACGGCTTTAGAAGTTGTATAAACTCTTGTAGATGCCACTGGTTCTTCACGTTCTGAAGATGTAGATGAGACTGGTTCTTCACGTTCTGCAGATGTAGATGTCACTGGTTCTTCACGTTCTGCAAATGTAGATGCCACTGGTTCTTTACATTCTGTAGATGTTATTTGCCACTGGTTCTTCACGTTCTACAGATGTAGATGCCACTGGTTCTTCACGTTCTGCAGATGTAGATGCCACTGGTTCTTCACGTTCTGCAGATGTAGATGCCACTGGTTCTTCAAGGTTTTGAGATGTAGATGTCACTGGTTCTTCACGTTCTGTAGATGTAGATGCCACTGGTTCTTCACGTTCTGCAGTTGTAGATGCCACTGGTTCTTCACGTTCTGCAGATGTAGATGCCACTGGTTCTTCACGTTCCGTAGATGTAGATGCCACTGGTTCTTCACGTTCTGTAGATGTAGATGCCACTGGTTCTTCACGTTCTACCGATGTAGATGCCACTGGTTCTTCACGTTCTGCAGATGTAGATGCCACTGGTTCTTCACGTTCTGTAGATGTAGATGCCACTGGTTCTTCACGTTCTGCAGATGTAGATGTCACTGGTTCTTCACGTTCTGCAGATGTAGATGCCACTGGTTCTTCACGTTCTGCAGATGTAGATGCCACTGGTTCTTCACGTTCTGTAGATGTAGATGCCACTGGTTCTTCACGTTCTGCAGATGTAGATGTCACTGGTTCTTCACGTTCTGCAGATGTAGATGCCACTGGTTCTTCACGTTCTGCAGATGTAGATGCCACTGGTTCTTCACGTTCTGCAGATGTAGATGCCACTGGTTCTTCACGTTCTGCAGATGTAGATGCCACTGGTTCTTCACGTTCTGCAGATGTAGATGCCACTGGTTCTTCAAGGTTTTAAGATGTAGATGTCACTGGTTCTTCACGTTCTGCAGATGTAGATGCCACTGGTTCTTCACGTTCTGTAGATGTAG